AAAAAAAAAAAAAAAAAAAAAGGGGCCTGAAATTGAAAGCCTAATTGTACCATCTGTCAAGTGAAGATTCATCAATACATAATTTTATTATAATAGTTAATTAGCATGAAAACCTTGCGATTTGATTTTTCTAATGGCCCCTCAAAAAAAAAAAAAAAAAAAAAAAAACCCAAAAACAAAAAACAAAGCATAAAATGGCCCTAAACTAATTTGGGGGTTATGGAGAGCTTAGACTGACAAAGCCCTGATTAATACATCTGTATGTGAAAGAGGCCTACCTAATGGCTGGGAATGAGTAGCATACATCTTTGCTTGCCTTCCAGGGCTTTTGCTCAGCAAATATCCAATCCATTAGATAAACAGATATAGATTGCTGATAACGTGCCAGGCACCCTGCTAGACAGAGAGGTTAGTGGCAAAAATGGGAGTTACTCCCTTAAAAGAATGGAGGAACTCATGAGTGAGCCAGTGAACATCACACCTGTTCTCATTCTTCAGAATCAGTCATCTGTCCTGTTGCTGAGACACTTTTCTTGTTTGCCCTTAGATTTTCTTTACTATGTCACTAGCAGTGGGATTCCCTTGACAAGGCTTAACTGAGATATGGTTAGTCTACCATGGCCAGATCTAGGTAAAGGGTGTATGTGTGCTCAACATTTATGCTAGTTTCAAAAAATTTCAAAATAAAAAATTAAAGAAAACACCAATAACAATAGAATTAATACAATAACACACATTCAGCGTCACTTTGTAGCATCACTGTCTATAACAGATTTAATTAGTTATAACTATATAACTGCCCAAAGAGGTAAATGATTAAGAAAATTCACATAATCAAAGAGATAAAATACTATACAAAAAAATAATTCACTTCAGCAGAACTTTTCGATTCATAGAAACATGGAATGAAATTATGTGAAATAGAAAAAAAATCAGAAAATAATCCCTGATTACAACAATGAAAATGTATGGGATATGCATTTATGAAAACCAAAAACATATTTAGCTAAGTGGGAACATTACTTTCCTTCTGTCCATGTTACTACATGCAATATAAGAAATATCACATAAATCCTGTTTGCTAAGCAAACTTATCCTACACCAGAGGGCAGAACAGCTAGAGAAAATGGCCTATTTGGTGCTGCAGCAAAGGACCACTGCCTCTCAATCATCACTAAAATGCAGGGACACTTACTGTTACTGGTGTACAGTTTAACCTACCCCTTGGAACCTAATGGCAGATTTGGAATTTTTCTTAGTCCTGGTAATGATTGAGATCAACACAAACATTTGATGGCTAATGTCAGATTTTATTTTCACACAATAATCCTCGCTCCTTTAACAAGAAGAGTGCACACATAGTAAAAAATAAAAATAAGCTTTCTGTCTTTCACTGTTATTGATTGTAGTTTGAGTTCATGCAGGATAGATCAAAACGGCTGATTCACATTAGAAAAGAGAGTCTGTATCTCCCTTTCACAAGCACTTTGTTTTTGAAAATACGAAAACTTACCAAATCATTTAGTACTTAATATTAACAACAACCTCATCATCTTGTGGTTTAAATGATGATGGAACAATAACTCAAGCTGGTTGTGTCCTATATTTCCTTTATTAATATAATTAGTATTCTTAGATCTTTTTAAATTGCTCTACTCTGGCCCTAGGGGGGAGTGATTTCAAAAGGCTAAATACAGACACTGATTCAAGATAAGATTTCTCACACATCCAACCTCTGTGATTTTGGATTACAGAGCAACAGACAGTAATTCTAGCACCAACTCTTTGGCAACGTTGTTTAAAAACAAAGGCACTATTGCACACAGCCCAGCGTTTTAATTTTGCATTGCACATCAGTGTATTTATGTAATACTTTTTCTTCAATATAAAACCATGACCTTAATATTTTTGAAAAACAAATGCTATTTAAAAATATGGTAATTATGAGACGCCTAATTGGCTCAAAAGCTCAGAGCTAAAATCCAAGTAGAGTTTGAACACACCCTACAAAGGGCTGAGATCCAAATTTATGCAACTTTATGAAACTTTCGATTTAAGCCTTAAGATTACTGGTATCAACAGTAATAAAAGGGTATCAATGTAATGATAGAGGATTAAGAAATAGTATCTGGCTCGGCGCCTATAGCTCAACCGGCTAAGGCGCCAGCCACGTACACCTAAGGTGGCGGGTTCGAATCCCCAGCCCGGCCATGTATCTGCTTTTTATATAAAATGTACAGCA